TTGCTCCGGAATAATATTTTTTCTATTTCACTACGTCACCAATTAAAATTTACGCATTGTTAGTGCGCAATTTGTTTGTTTTAAATATATGTGTATGTAAAAGCATCATCAAAATAACAATTACTCCATAGAGCAACGAGCACGCATGGTCAAAACGTAATTATGAACTACACCAAAAATTCGTAACTAGTTTATTTGTTGATAAATGCTAGACAAAGCACTTGTACTGTATATTAAGTAATAAAAATAAATCGATAAACTAAATTATGTTCCTAATCTAAAAACAAAGTTGTACAAAAAATACTTAACAAAAACAACCTAAGACAATTGGCGGCCATAACGAAGTTGGGCCAATTATTTCCGCTGCGATAAATAAATTTCCCGTTTTTTTTGTCTTCACGACACAAATTGTATCATTAATGGTAAAAGGTTTAAACGCTAATCAACAAGTAATTAGGTTTCAAATTATATTATGTATATTTCATGGTAAATTAATGAATGCAGTGATTTGTTCGCTATATCATAAATCGAGTTATTCAATTTCTCTTCAATACCTTTTGTAAGTCACCGTACGGATCTTGTTTTAAATGCACACAGAAATTTTTCATGAAAAGAGCGTATCAATTCTTAAAAGGCCGAAAACGAACTCGCGAGGCTTCTGGAATTGAGTGTCTATGGGCGGCGGTACCACTCACCATCAGGTGAGCATCCTGCCCAATCACTAATTTATTAAAGTTTACCACATCATACATAGTACTAAATCTATGGTATATGTAACAAAAAAATAAAATAAAAATACTATTAAAATATAAACAAGATAAAATGAAAATACCAGAAATTTTTGCTAAGCAGAAAAAAAATACCAGCGAAACAGCGGATTAGGTTCGAGATAGGCAGTTAACAATGCTTTCTTTAAATCGATCAGCCCACTACCGAATATATCCAGCTCTGCATAAGTGGGGCACAGCAGGGAACGCTTATGAATGATTACGTAGGTATACGATACTCAACCCATAGGTTGTGATTGCTATGCTAACTGCTTTTTTAACACTGTATATTTCGCGTCACAAAAAAAGGTCGCGGTATCAGATGGCAGCCTTATCATAACGGAATCCATCTTAGACATCTCTGATTCGACTGACGTAATCAAATATCGATTTAATATACAAGAGTCTAGTATTGTTTGAAAATAACTCATTGTTAAGTTTTTCAATAGTTCATTTTATTTTATGCGGATTAATAATTATTAATTATAAATAATTAATCGAAACAAAGAAACACAATTACAATTCACTATTATTAATAAGCAGCAATTTACAATTGTTATATTCTTTATATAAAGTTTCTTTTTATATCAGAATATATTTTATATCAAATTGCGTCTTTTCTTAAATATGCTTTCTTTATATGTGCCAATGTATAATAATGTTCTTTATATGAGAAGTGTTGGCCTAGATGCTTAGGCGTGCGACTGTCATCCGGTCGTAGGTTTGATCCCCGGCTGTGCACAAATAGACTTTCATTCTATGTGCTCATTTAATATTTGCTCGAACGGTAAAGGAAAACATCGTGAGGAAACCGTCATGTCTTAGAACTAAAAAGTCGACAACGTGACAAAAAGCCACGCACAGGAGGCTGATCACCTACTTGCCTATTAGATTGAAAAAAATGATTATGAAACGGATTCAGAAATCTGAGGCCCAGGCCTAAAGAGGTTGTAGCGCCACTAATTTTTTTATATGTGCCAAACGAGCGAGCGTTAATTAGGTACATAGAGACTGAAATCCTTTAGCGCATAGCCAATTAGATTAACATATGAAATTATATATAATATAAACACAAATTAAACCTTAATTTATTTGATGGAATGATTTATGTATGAAACCAACAATAGAACCACACGATGTGTAAGTTTCTTTTTCGACAATTCCTAAGTCCATTTACTCTATTAATGTAACAGCTAACAGCACAAGTCGAAAATATAACATGCAGTTGGACATATTCATTTATTTTAAGTCTAGAGAGAGTCTAATGATAGACACACCTGGTCAACAATTGATCAGGTAGTACCACCGCAGTAACTGTTTCGTATAGATTCCACCCATCCATGGATACTCCAACACCACCAAGCCACCTTCAGAGGTCGTAAACGTCAAATAGTTTTGTTTTCGGTTTACGACACGAAATATTCTAATATAATACGTATATGTGTGTTAGTAATGTGTTGGAACGTCTAAATAATAAATTAGTAAATCTAGTGGTCCTGGGATGAGATGATTAGACAAAATAAACGAAAACAAATTAAACTTTAGACTAAACAAAATAAATGTGGCGCTACAACCCTTGAGTTAGGTCGCTGTTGCGTGACCATTTGCTTTTTCTAATAGGCAAGTAGATAGCCTAGTCTGACACACGCCGTCAACTTTTTTAGTCTTGTCACGTAGGTTTTCTTAAAATGTTTTCCTTCACCGTACGACTGTAATGTACAGCCGAGGTTCGAACCTACGACATCAGGGATGAGAGTCGCACACTAAATGTTTGTGTTGACTATCTAACACATTTTTTCTGTAAACAAGTAGTTCTAGTAGTAAATGCATTCTACGTAGAACGAAGGGTGAAGCATGTATATATTTCGTATAAAATTTTCATTGCCCCATGAAAACTAAGCTAGATAAGAGTGGCTTGCAAGCCACTAGACCAGTGTTCCCTAACGTGGGGCCCACGCCCCACAGGGGGTAATTTGATTCGAAAATTTATAAAAATATTTGGGATTTGAATTTCAGTTTAATTATATATTTTGAAAATTTACTTACCGTGTTTCATTAATACTTATGTTATTTCTTCCTTAACACATCATTTAAATGCCTTAGGTGAACAATTCAATTTTTTAATATTAAAATGACGTATATTAAATGGGAGGGGCTTAAGACTTTAAAAAGGCTAAGGTTCAGCATGGCACAAAAAAGGTTGGGAAACACTGCTTTAGATACTAAATAAAAAGACAATAAATTCATTCCGTCTACTTTTAGTTAACAAACATTTCCAGTTCACTATGTTTTCAACTGTTTAATATATTCTGTAGCGATAGGCACTTAGAAACTTAGCGGTTTAGAGTTTGTGAAGATTGTTACTTGGTTAAGGCCTTTTACGTGATGTTACTCGGAATACGAGAGACAAGAGAAAAGTTTTTATATAAAGTACTGACAAATACCGACAAACTTAACTAATCTATCAAAATGGCTTAGGTTAGTCACAAACGTAGGAAAAAAGAATTAACTTACCTGCTAGGTAATTTGCAAATATAATATAAATAATATATTGGTTATTGGGTACAATACTACATTAAATCTTAGAAATATGCACATGTGTGTATTAGGGTGGGTCAAAAATTTTTTTTTAAGTAATCGATTTCTAATAGCGAAAATATGTTGTACTTAGGTATTGTTATCAACCCTTTAAAATATTATTTAATAAGTTTAAGTAGAACAACCCGCGCAACGCCCTTATATAACTATCGTATTTAGTAATACTTGTTTTTCTAAAAACTAATAATTTTGAATCTTATGCGCGGGCTGAAGATGTATGTTTAATTATCCGCATTTAGCTAAACCTACTTTTTATAGTACACTACAACATAATATTAATATTAGAATTTGATTCATCGACTTTTATTTTTTTCCTAACTAGAGTGACCCACCCTAGTGTGTATATAAATATATTTTTAGTTTTAAACAAAAAACAATAACTAGCCATAAAATATAATAACTAAAATATATAATTAAAATAAGTCCCTTTAGGTAAGGTTCCGAAGATATTGGCAGCGTTCCCCTTTGTATAGCTAGACTAATTCTTTGTCCGTGGTAGCTGCCAGCTCTTCAGTCTCCTATGATGTCGACTAAGCTTTTATTTAGTTTTAATTTTTTATTATTTTGCTTATCTCTAATACAATTGATGTCTATGTATTTCTTGTTCGCACGTGGTACATCTTTTGAGTTCTTACTGACACATAAGCGGCCGGGAGATCCTTTTGTATTATGTAAGATTAATCTTTGTCCATCGGTCTTTGACCTAGACAGCTAAAATTAGATAAGTATAATGCGAGATACAATAACTCGCACATTTTGTAATATCACTAAATAAACATGACGCATTAGGATTTAGTTGATAAAGTTTGATATTTCAAAGTTTGATAGTACATTCGCGCTTATTTACCATATGTTTTTAAATATAATATATACTACATTAAAAAAGTAACAGGAGTCAAATGTATGAGTGTGAATGTGCGTATAATACACTGTAATTTAGAGTATGGCTGAGAGTTGTTATAAGCGTGCGCTGTATGTGTTAGTTTTTGGAACCTCAGTATAGTAATTCACGCGAGTTCTACAAATTTAACTTAAAAATGCTGTATATCAATATAGTTTGGGTTTGGAGATATAAGGTCATTAGTTTTAAAAATTATGTCGGCTATCAAGAGGCTTGTCTAGGATTTATAATTGAACCATTCACACTTAGACGTAAGAGACTTCTCTTTGTTTCTTCTCTAAGTGTGAATTCTCTGCCCCTAATTGCTTCAAATATAAAACGTAAATGTACTCGATTATCGAACTAGTCATACTGAGCTGTTTCCACTAATTAGGGTCAGTAGGTTCTGGAATAATTAAATATTATATTCAAACGCGTATTTTCGAAGGAAAAAGCAAATTTTTTGGATCACCTAAAAGTAAAACGTACACACACTTATACACCTACACATAGCACATGTTGTCAGTACTTTTTGAGCCAATTGGTTACAAACATACTTACATACAAATTTTTCCTCTTTATAATACTAGTATAGATATGGTTAATATTTTTCCCAACATCATAAAACTCGCTCTACAAATAATTATAATCAATGAACTCACATTCATATCATTCCGACTTACGCAAGCGCAGTACACCCGTGAACTAGGTTAGAGGCGCACGTGTCGACTTTATTTAACCTTAAACTTACAAAAATGTTACCAATTAATCTAAACCAAGTTAACAGTGACGAATTTAAACAGTTTATTGATTCCTTTGACCATGTTTTTTCGGATTGTGATGGTATGTGTCTTTACTTTTTGGTTCCTTTATTGATGTTCAAATGTACAAGGAAGTTGTATATTATATATAACTTTAAAGTTCTTGTAGACACTTGGTTGTTTAATGTCGATTGTTTAATTGTTATAAACGACTACAATTGCAACTTTGCGTGGAAACTCAGCACAGGTATCAATAAAATTGATGACTGTCAAACGAACCACATTAAAAGCTGATGAAATTTTAAATAACGATAATAATTTTACCACATAGAGACTTCCATGTTGTATATGTTGACCTACCTAATTAAATTAATTTACAATTAATATAAACAAACTGTTTAAATGAATGAAAACGTTTACGCTATAGGCCAAATCAATTAAAAAGAAAGGTCCTCCAAAGCATATTACAATGTATATTTTAGTCAATTTAATTATTAATTCTATAAATACTCACGTTTAATAACAAGTTGGTTGCTTAGCAACAATGTTATTTGTCGTACCGCGCTGTCATTCCCGTACATCAAAATGCATTGGATTTTAAAAGAGGTTATAGTTTGCGCTAAGTCGCGTTTCTCAATATAACCCTTAGATCTTATAATCTTCGCCTATTTCCACGCGAGTTTTATAAAATTAAACCATTACATACAATTAATCTAAATAAACTGTTAATACTGACTGTCTCACGACTCAACCCCATGTTTATATTCAGAGATCCATGCGTCAAATAGTGACACTGACTTGTAAAGACTGTTTTGAACTTGCGGGCGAAGGTGACTCAGGAATTTTTGACGTAATTGCGTAAATTCACTTCTATGACTCGATGTTTCCAATGACTATGGGGAAAAACAAGAGGAAATAATTATCCTTAACGGTTTTAGAACCAAAATGCCGGTAAAAATCAGTTTTCATTTGGCCTTATTAGTGCCGGATTTTTTTATCATTACGATGTTATTTTCATATAGAAAATGGTAATTAATGGTAACCGTGGTAACAATTAACGTAATAATTTAAATCCATGATAAATAGGCCGTGTTTTTTGTGTTAACTAATCTAATGATTAGTCTATAATAGAAATCCTCAGCTTAGGTGCGTATATATTTTGACAAAACTTCTAAATCACGAATTTCTTACAATATTTACATTGAGTTATGTGATGATGTACAGTTGAGGCTTTACATTAGTCGGAATCAGCGGGATGATATAATTGATTTAGATAATTGAGATAATCTGTTATATTATTTTTGCTTAGTAGGTATATATTCTATACCACGTTAAAAATAATTAAAAACCATAAACACTTATGAATTTCATCTATACGTACACTTAATAGCTGAGCACGATACTCAGTTATGAGTTACCGTTTCAGAGAGAGTATAAAGAGGAAAAAATACAGCTTGTAACTATTTTCAATAATAAATATCCAGCTGTATGGAGCCGGGACAGGCGAGTAATCATAAAACCACTTGTTTCAGGAGTAATATGGAATAAGGACCCATTGCCAGGATCCGGGGATTTCTTTAATTTAATGAAAAAGATCGGCAAAACTGTACATTTTGTCTCAAATAACAGTTTACGAAGTAAAGAAAACTATGAGAAACAGTTTCAAAACGCTGGTATAGAAAATGGATATGTAAGTGCAAATTATTTTATCAAATAAGCAAGTCACATGACTTATTTTTGTCTTCATACATTTTGGTGAGACTGATCAATAATTTTTTAACTCGGCCGATCGTCACATTGGATAGTGACCCGAGCGAAACAGAAACGCTCGGGTTATGCTAGAAGTATTTTTATTTTGATTAGCTTTTTGCCAATTATATTTATTATGATTTTACCTCATTATTATAATTTGTTTCTTTTTGCGTTTTGTGAACTATTGTAAAGGCAAAGTATTAGTCTAACCTCTCTTATTGTTCCCAAACTAATTTCCTCCATATAAGATTATATGGAAACAATTTTGATAAGATTGTATCAATGGCCAACGAACCGTCCTTTGTGGTTATAAAAAACGACTGTAAATTTTTAAAGCTTTATAAACTTTCTAGGAAATATATGTTTTTTTTTTACGAAAATATTTATATAGTACAACCGTGAGAGCACGCGCCTCTCTTACCTAACGTTCTACGTTCTATCAACGGCTGTGCACCAATGGACTTTTCTTTCTATGTGCTCATTTAATATTCGCTCCTTTGGCGGAGAATCACAACGCGAGCATGCTTCACTCAAAAAGTCGACGGCTGGTAAAGAAAACTGCCGTGCACTACACATCATCTTGCCTATTAAAAAAACAAATGATGACGAAATAGATTCCGAAATCTGATGCTTAAGCCAAGAGATATTGCACCGCTAGTTTTTTTTTCTTGGTAGACCATGAGACTTGGCGCACTAAATAAAAACAATGTACGGCAAGATTCTGCTATACATTTGTATGCACAAGTGTAAGGGCGTTTTAATTAGATTTAAATTGCCATTGTCATGTATAAAAAGGTCTGATGTATATCTGTTTAGTGATCATTAATTTTTATAATAGGCAAATAGGTGATCTTTCTTCGCCAGACACCGCCGTCTATATTTGGTCTAAGGCCGGTTTCTATCTAAACGAAATATTGAAGCACAGTCGGGGTTCGAACCTACAAATTCAGGGATAGAGGATATATATAGGATCTCGGACAAAAGTCACCCAGACACAATGCCTGAAGACCTTCAACAAAAACTACTTAACCTTCTTTCTTACAAGTAACATACACTAGTAACTTCCCTTAGGGTCGATTCGACCAAACTTCAATTTATACACGAGTAACTATACCAGGAATAATCTATTCCATGATGTTAATCTCGAGTAAATCCATAGTCGTTTCTCCACGTAATCGATAGTATAATTGCGCTAGGAATAACAATACGCGAATAGCAAAGAGAATGGTGAACGAAAATAAAACTCGGCAAATAAATGTTGTTCTACAACGGGACAGCGTAAGAGCATACATCATGACAACTCGATTTTGCCGTATTATAGTGTGAAAAAGTAGCTTTTAACAGGTGTCAAACGACATCAAAAAGTTTTTATTTGTTGTTTGTTCGAGGCTTTCGTCTAAAAAGGAACTTCTGTTGAGCCTAGTTGAATTTCATTCTAATATTATATAGAAAATAAAACTACTAAAAATAAATAAATAAATAATAAATTGTTTAAACGTTTCATTATACAATGCCAGACTATTAATTTAGTGCGTTCCGTTGACTTGAAATTAAAACACAGAATACATATTTGTGAAATGACAGAAATCAGATGATTGGACTGACTGACGCCATAAAATTATTCTAGGAATAGCTGTTATTCCGTGCGAAACGGCGGTATAGTAACAATTCCCGAATAGGCCTTATATATTCTTAGAATTTGTAGATGGTAAAACGTAAAATTGATTTACTCTCGATTAACTGACGATTTATTCTAAGATTAAGATTTACTCTTGTTTGGTCGAATCCACCCTTAGAAGTGTAAACCATTCAGTTCCTAACATAAACGTGCCGACTTCTCGAAATATTACAAGAACTCTCAAAATGAATGGAACCTAACATTATTAATCCCCTTTTTTATAAAACGGGCAGGAGGCTCATCTAATGTTAAGTGATACCACCGCCCATGGACACGTGCGTTGCCGGCCTTTTAAGAATCGGTACGCTCTTTGAGCACTCTAAGGTGTATTGGTTCGGAAATACTAAAGTGGGCTAAATATTTTTTTTACTTATTTTTGTCATCAATTAAAATGAATTATTCTCAAGACCTCACCATATTTTTATTCATTCGAAAACATTATTGTAAGCAATATTAATATTTCGAATACGATAGCTGATTGGCAATTTCTTACGAATTCTTTGTACGAAATGTACAAAGGAATCCTTTCAAAAATTGATTATATCTTATTTATAACAATAGAGGGTATTAATAAGCCGTATATTCTGGCAAATATAGGCTTTGTTATTGGAATGGAAATCTTAAGCAACCATTGTAGTACTACTTGAGCTATTGTTGCATTATTCGTTTTGATTTTCTCCTTGTGAATCTAATTTTAAGTTATGAAAGAGTAATTTGATAATATACGTAATATAATATGGAGCCTATTTACATTGGTTTTTTAAAACGTTGTTGTTATTTTAACTATAGTTTGAGTGGCCTATGGGAACTTCGTTTCATTCGTTTCCTAAATAATGTTTTTAATGAAACTATATCAATTATACAATGTTTGTAATTAATGTACACTGTATGTATATTTTGCTTTTGACAAGGTTAAGCATATTAACGTCCTCATTATTCTCTTAATTGACACCGGTCTCGATGAAAATAAACTAAGAGTAATCAGGAATAGTTAGGAAGTAAACATCTTTGTACAGGCAAATACCAAAAAGCAATAATGATAGTGCATCCCGAGGAGACGGATAAGATCACTATTTACATGTGGTGTTCTTCAAGGTGTATATGGTCTCCATTGGATGATCCCCAAATATTTATTTATTTTATTTATTAACAGCTCAATGGCCAAACTTAGACTAAAAACAATTAAGATTTACAAAATTTACAGTACAGGGTAGCATTACCCTCTTATCCCCTCCAGGTACACTCTGAAACCACAGTTACGTTGCCACAAATGCTTGTTAATAGGGTTCATGTAACTGACGAAAAAGACGTTCTGACTATTAATGCAGTAAAGACAATGGTGATGGTCATTTCTCAAAACGACGCTTTAAGACCTAATTTATCTGTAGCTGGAAGAACGTTGGAACAGGTGCGGTAATACAACTATTTGGGAACTTCCCAAATTGAAATTTCCCGAGGATCTTTCAACAAAATCAAGAAAGTATTGTGCTGAAGTCCGAATTCAAGTCCGGGTTCTCCTTTGTTACATTAAAGAATCTTCTGGTATTTACCAGAGAGCGTCTAGAAGCATTTGAGATGTGGTGCTATCGCCGCATGCTTCAAATAAGCTGGATCTAGAAGGTCTCTGACAAGAAGGTTCTTAAACGAGTTGAAATGTCGAAAAAATTTATGTGAAAAAAAAAAACAACGTAAAGATGCGTACCTGGGCCACGTGTTGCGCCACAACCACTACCACCTCCTTCAATGAACTATAACGGGTAAAATCCAGGGAAAACGGTGTGTTGGTAGAAGAATAAAGCATGGCAGGCCCTTCTGGAGGAGACATAATTAAGGTGACAAATACGTTGGCAGGTATTTTCTACATCCTAGGGCAAATTAGTCGTGTAAATGTACCCCAAATGCACAATGTAGTCATATGGTTAGTGACACGTGACCGCATTGCAAGAGTGCGTTTCTTTAGATTCTTATTGATCGAACGAAAGACGAACTACGCAGTATGATTGAACTAGAAAACCTGTTGACCAACTTCCATATCCAACGTAACAATAGATAGTAAACTCCAATGGGGCCCACACATAGATACTCTTTCGAATAGGCTGAGCTCTGCAGCATATGCAGTAAAGAAAATCCGACAGTTTACTGATAAGGACACGGCAAAAATTGTTTATCATAGCTACTTTCACAGCGTTATGTCGTACGGTATTCTACTGTGGGGTGCTGCTGCAGAGGTTCAATCCATATTTGTGCTGCAGAAGCGGGCTGTTCGGGGTATTTGTTGTGTTTCTCCGAGGGAGTCGGTACGGAATAAGTTTAAGGAATTAAATATTATGACACTATCTGGTCAATATATTCTTGAAGCCTTGTTGTATGTCCAAAAAAATATAAACGATTTTAAAACAAATGGTGACTTTCACCAGTATTATACGCGAAATAGAACTAATTTGAGTGTAAGACCAACCAGGCTCCAAAAGATAAACCACTCCTTATATGGAAATTGTATTCGTTTTTACAACAAACTCCCAAGCGAAATTAGAGTATTATCACTAAATAAATTCAAAGCCCTCGTTAAACGAAAATTAATCAACAAAGCTTTTTATAAATTTGAGGACTACTTAAATGATCCTAATCCTTGGGATTGAATTGCTCCAGTTCAAACAATTTGTATGACAATACTTGGCGATTAAAAAGAGTGGCGGAAAGTTTCTTGCCAGTTCTTCTTACCCGCTCTACGCCCTTGACTTGCGAACTGGTAGTAAATGTAAATTTACGATTAATTTAACTTGACGATTCAAACGTGTACTTGGTTACCCACTTGAATAAAGATATTTTTCGTATTCTACGGGGATAAAATATTCAAGCATTATTCATTTATATTTTAACTTGCATTTGGTTTCAGGAAAAGCTCACAATTCCCTCAACAGCAATAGCGGAATATTTAAAATCAGTTAATTTCAACAAAGTCGCGTATTGTGTGTCATGCACGGAAACAATCTCAGTTTTGACATCACATGGCTTCAAATGTAAAGCGGGGGTAAGATATTCAATAACTTTTATTATGTATTACGTCCCGGCTTCGCTGGATAGTAATGATGAAATCGGTTTACTAGTTTTTGAGTTTTTCCTTAATCTATATAAAACTTATTTTTCTTAGAATATATAATTCATACTAGTGGACCCCACAGACGTTGTCCTGCATGATATTTAAAGCGATTAGGATATTAAGCAAAGTATGAAAGTACCGACTGCAGTGCCATCTGCCGGGCTGATTTGTGAATCTAAACCATTCCCAGATCCCCTTGAACACACACAAAAAATTTCATCAAAATCGGTCCAGTCGTTTGAGAGAAGTTCAGTCACATACACACGCACACAAGAAATATATATATTAAGATTAGGTTTACCTTCCTATTAAAGGATTGCAAATGGCACTATATCGTCGTAATTAATACTAATAATACTATATTATATTTTATAACTAACCCCAATGTTGCGCAAATTAAATAGGGAAGAAATTGTTTATATCTCTTGGGCATTTAGGTACCTCAACATTGAGAGAATTATTATCTCAAGTTATTACTTGAAAGGCTCTAATATAATAGGTCCTAAGGGATTACTTATTAAAGCAAGCCCTATACTAGATGACTTAAAATTACTGCGCATCTTTATTACACACGAATAATGTAAGAAGCTTGCTAAGTTCGTGGACACTGTCCTTCACTACCGATATATGTATGTCGGAGCAATGGCGCTGGTAGCAACTGCCATTGACATTATAATTTAATAACATTCATAACATGCATTTTTTTGATTTGCCAATATTAATAATAAAGACTATGAAATAACTACAGACTATGAAATAGTCTTAAATTTGTAGATCTATTAATATGAAATTACGTATAGAATGACAATGGCAGCTGATATCAACGCCATTGCTCCGACATGTATAATGTATATTGTATATGTATATACAATCATTATATGTCTCTTCTAGCCAGAGCAGATTTCGGATTTCTATGGTGATTTCCTTCAGTACATCGACGATGACGAAGATGTAGGTGCAGTTGTGTTTGACAGTGACTTCAAAGTGAACCTGCCAAAACTGTACAAAGCTATCACTTACCTGCAGAGATCGGACGTTATCTTCCTGAGCGGCGCCACTGACAAATACATACCTTTGACGCCTGATCGATTAACATTAGGTATTCATTATACATAAAGTTTTCAAAAAGCACTACGAACTGGAAAATTGAACTTTCTTTAAAATAAAATGCTAACTTAAAAGATAAGCGTGCTACTCACGTAGAAATGTATAAAACTATTAGAATAAATAAAAAATATCGAACAACAAGCAATCCTAAAATTGAATACTAATTGCCCCTTCATTTTCCATCTTAGGGCTTATACCGGCTAAATTAACGAATGTCTGGAGTATCGAGATATTATATAAATCAATTTATTCCAAACCAATAAATATTATAATGACAATTCCAACATTAGATGAATAAAATAAAACTTTGCTTAACAATAATAATAAAATATCAGTGAAACTGTTTATGTTATTTAGAATAGCAAAATTCATTTTACAGAAATTACCTGAACTGCGTTACTTAAATTTGTCATTTTGATCGAACTTATCTAAGCTTCCATAGTATCAATGTTATGTATTAGAGTTATTTCTATATTAAAAATACTTGTTATGTCTTCAAAATATTTTTGTTACAGGTACAGGCATTTTTACACAAATAGTATGTGAAGAGTCAAAACGTTTGCCAATACAGTTGGGCAAGCCTGGTCGGGACTTCGGCGAATTCGCAATGAAACGAGCGAATGTCACCGAGCCCAGTCGAGTACTTTTTATTGGAGATATGTGAGTGATATACGATGTGAATATTTGGCCGTTGTAAGCCCAATGGGTCATAAATGGATGGTGTAAGAACAACATTTGTTAAAGTTTAAAATCTATGAAATGGTTAAAACATATATCCAAAAATTTTGTCAAAACATGAGGGAAATTTAAAACCGTCTTGGATGTACAGTATTATTTTGATAAAAGATGCGGTGGCAACGAAGCCTCATTTTATTAAGTTTAACTCACCGCTCATAGCCTTATAGAATTCCATTTTAAGTATAAACCTTATACATTCAAACAAAATTAACTCAATATTCGTACAAAAATGTGTTCCAAATAATAATAAATATAATTAAACTTTTTACAATAGTATGTATATCATGCTATTTTTGTTGTGATGCGCTACTCCGTCCGTCCGCGGAAACATATCCGAAATCAAGAAGAGAACTGTTGCCATCGCATTTGAACCAATTTCAAAGGCCCGGGGGCCGATTCCACTGTTCGCAAGTTCGCAAAAATTGCCTAGCGAAGCGGACCGTGGACGGCTTCCAGCCATCAAGGTGTTGGGATCAATTCTGGCTGGCTTTGTGCGTTGATGGAACGACTCAAAGAATCTATATTCCCTTGAATACGGATAAAATAATGAATTCTTAGTATATGAAATTCTTTTAAATAGTGATTAATTTTGAAGTCGATTATTTTAAACTGTCGCCTTAAGTTTTCTGATGGTTCAGTAGAATAACAATAAATCTCTATTTAAGGAAAGTAAAATTAAGTAAACGATTACTACTCATATTGTACATAAAATAATTTTCGTAGAATTAAGACATCCTCGTGTATTCTATAATAAAATGTTTTGATAAAATTCTGAATGAAACCCAGGAAGTAAAAATGAAAAAAAAACGTTAAAACAGTCGTAATAGTGCTTTACGACTCTGTTTCCCGGGTCAAGCGATATACAAACGTTATATTTAACATCTTATTAGCGTAGTGACATCATATTTTTTTCAGGATTGAACAAGACATTGTCCTTGGCAAGAATGTAGGCTTCATAACTCTCCTGGTTTTGACACATAGAACAAAAGAAGAAATGCAGTCACATACTATCAAGCCAGATTTCTTTGCAGATTCCTTGGGAAGCTTGATACCTCAACTTGAAAAGGCTTTAAATTAAATGGTCAAGATTCTTCTATATTAAAGAGATTTTTAAATTTACACGATTTTTTTAAACTATTTTTCAATGGCTGAAAAAATGTGATTCTTAGAATATTTCAAAATACTTACACCTAAAATTAAAAAAAAGCATTTGGTCCAATGACAACTTTTGCATAAAACATTTGCAATTATTTTATAACATATTGGAAGTCTATCATACAACCTTATCCAGAAATCAGCAGTAGAACGAATGTTTCAATCAAAATGACGTTAAAATAGAACACTTGTCTCTGGTTTAAAATATGTCGTTTAGGTTATTCAAACGCAGTGTTTCCCGTGAGGCCCACGCCCCTCAGGGGGCAATTTGATTGTTAAGGGGGGCTATTCAAAAATTTATTAAAATTACTTGAAATTTGAATTTGTTTTGAAAATTTTCCTACTGTGTTTCGTTACAATCTTCCTAGTAATTTCTTCCTAAAACCTATCATTTAACTTTCTTAAGAGAATTCAATTTTTAATATTAAAAATTATGAATGTTACATTACTTAAGAATTTTAGAAAGGTTAAGATGGGGCATGGCACAAAAAAGGTTGGGAAATACTGGTCTAACATAACATATATTAAGATATGGTAAGCCGAATTCAGAGTCGAGACTTATTATTATTATTTTATTTCAGTTTTTGTTATACCAGCGAATTGTAGACGAATAGTTTGTCGTCGATAAATTATGTATAGAATAATAATATTAAATAAATAAATATCAAAAACGTATTGCGTGTCTAAATTAGCTCCGCTTAGCTAAATAAACTAACTTGGAGCTTTTAACTGAAACCTGCCGTATTTTAATATAAAGCATGTATATTGCAATTATTTTAGAGAATTATCATAATCAAACAGACACAGAGGTGCTTTAACCGGGATTAAATATCAATGATATCCGATTTCTACACGCCTCAACCAAAGATTGCGCACAGGTGGCTTTTGCGGCAGTTTCATATTGCCTTTATTAGTTAATCAGGCGCCTAAATTTGAGACTCGAATTAGGAAATCTCATTTGTTTCAACGCAATCAAATCTACGCTTATTTCTTGCTCCTTAGGTGGTAAGCATTTAGACTTATATTTCAGGTTCAATTACTCGTCAGAGCAAAAATATTTTGCTGGAAGCCCTAAAATTGGATGGTATTTAAACATTACCATACTTACGATGAATACGAAAAACTGAGAAATTATATTAAACTAGCGGACCCGACATACGTTGTCCTGTCTTAACTATGAATATTGATTTCAAATTGGTATAATTAATTTAAAAATATTTCAGAAACATAGTGTTTATTATTCTAATGCTTTATGTTATACAACATTCTTTGTTTGTTTTTCTGGCTCGCATATCGCATATATTATCAATATAATAACTCCGATTGAAGCATTTATTTTAAACGATATTCATTTTTCTTACATCCTCTTTGACGATATTTGCAGCACGCATTCTGTCAATGTTAGTGTCAAACGCCATAAGGTTAGTCATCAAAAAGTTCGAATTGTATGGTGGTTAAGACGTATTATTAAATTTTATAATTTTCCGCGCAATTTTTTTTTTATAAGAACCTTCTCCTGACAATTACAAACTCAACAAAAAAAAAATCAGACATATCGGTCAAGCCGTTTTCATGTTATGTCGTGAAAACGGAAAACGGGTTTCATTTTGAAGTGAAACTTCTTTATCGGGGTTGGAAAAAAATTTAGTGTAACATTTTTGCGTTACGCGTCACATTTTTCCGTTACGCGCCATGTTGCTTTTTGAAGTCAAACTTCTTTATCGGCGTTAAAATATGACATATAGTATGTTTTTGACTTTGAAGTTTGACAACGGATTACACTTTCGAAGTCAAACTTCTTTATCGGCGTTAAAATATGACATATATGTAGTATGTTTTTGACTTTGAAGTTTGACAACGTATTACATTTTCGACTTGAAATTTGCTAATCGCAATTTGCAGCAATTAATTTGTAAATTGTATGCTAGGCAGTGTATCAAAATTTACTGTGTTTAAAGAAATAGTTTCGGACCTCTAAACTTAAAACAAACCAATTATGGCTCTGCGTACAACAAAGGTTTTATATAAGTTTCACTTCTTACGTGTGTACACCTAGTACACGCACACATTTTTTTATATATATAGATTCTTTAAAAATCTATTTTATATTTTATTAGAACTATTTTAGTGGTCAGCAAATTTTTATAGCTTATTTAATATACGAATTGGAAACGAATTAGAATGGTATCATAAAAGCTCATTTTATTTTTTCCTCTTAAATTTTACAACAGTTATATTTCTTTTAAATATAGGGTACTTCAGTTACTTTTACAGTGCTATTAAAAAATCAACGCTGTATAGACGAGAAAATTTCTAAAACAATCATTAATTTGAACAAAGGGCCGTTCATTTGTTTTGGACTAAGCTTATTACAATTCCGTTTATTAATACTTGTAGAGTATTAAACTTTATTGTTCGTATCATAAAAGATAATGCTCTGAACATTTATAAATTTTATTACCTTTGAAATAATACAATGATGCTTTAGCTATCTTATCTAAGTTGTAGAAGCTTATTGAAAGGCCATCTTGAAAACCGTTTTAATTTGTTAGACTGAGGTAAGTTCTTTTATATGTTACTAGCTGCCCCCGCGAACTTCGTTTCTCCTTAATGCCTAGCCTACCTTTTTAGTACATACCAACATGGAACATTTTGATATGCTACCCCAGATACTGTTCGGTTTTCCGGAATGAAAACTTTTATTTTTGTGATTATAGATTTTTATCTGTATAAAACTGAGAGTTCAAGTTGTAAGTTCTTAACTAACAAATACAAAATTAGGGTTGATCGTAGAGGATAGAGTAAAATTAAGGGTTGTATGTGTATTTTTGTATGCTGTATTATAAAAAAATAAAAAAAATTGTCTAAAAAAATAAATAACTTTTTTATAACTTAAATAACGATTCTTACACTTACTGAATATGCATACAAAATTTCATGAAAAGCGGTCGAGCCGTATCGGAGGAGTATGGGAACGAACATTGTGACACGATAATTTTATATATGTATTAGATATAAAAACACACATGGAAAAAATTAATGTACTTATAGTAAAAAAAAATACTTTTAATTATATAATTTATCATGTTTAGTTAAAATTTGGCCTATGTATGCTGTAAATAAATAAAATAAAATAAACTTCTATAAATTATCATGTATGAATGTTTCTTTTATTTTTAATTTCAAAATTTCTGGTCATAAAATTAAATTGCAACCCTTGTTTGCAGAAAAACTAAATCAGTCCACTTAAAAGCCTTGCTCTCTTTAAAACCTTTTAACTTTCTTTCGTCTCTTTCTATAAACGTTGTGATGAAAAGAGACAGAAAATCACTTCACAGCATTACGAAGTATTAATTAATGTAAATAATTGTAGCACTTTTCATTAATTTAAATTCGTAATTTTTTTTGTGTTTTCTACACTTTTGTTTTGTATCCTGTGTTTTCACACCATTATTGTGCTTAAATACAGTAGTACTTAGTTATTTCTGCTACTCGGTACTTTAAAGCATCTTGTTTTTTAGCAGTTAATTTTTGTGTCATATTTTATTAGATAAATTCTAAAGTTTCTGTACCAACCCAGGTACCATACATGTACAAATGAACCCAACAATGGTACATCGTAGCAGATACAAATTGCCTCTTTCAATATTCTAGTGCCAATGATTTGGTACATCCGCTCGCGTGGAAATTGAAAAACGGCTGAAAAGTGGAAAACCCACAAGTATTTCCGTTTTTTTATTCATTCGAATGTCGGCGCGAAACGTTTGTGGAACAGTTTTATTGGAATACCTTTTTACTACTACCATTTGACAATTTTTGCAGAATTGCGTTTTCAGGGTTTTCGTTTTGACTGTACGCTGAATACTATAGATTTTATGTTTTAGACAATAAATGTTTATCCATACAGTACTAATGCATAGCAGTGTTGGCCTAGTGGCTTCAGTGTGAGAATCTCATCCCTGAGGTCGTAGGTTCGATACCCGGCTATGCACCAATGGACTTTCTTTCTATGTGCGCATTTAACACACGCTCGAACGGTGAAGGAAAAGATCGTGAGAAAACCTTCTCTTAGACCCAAAAAGTCGACGGCATGTGAAAGGCACAAAAGGCTAATCAACTTTTTGGCAAATGATCATGAAACAGATACAGAAATCTGAGGCCCAGACCTAAAACTGAGCCACCTATTTATTTATTTTGTAATACATAGATTTTTTATTAAATTACTTAAGCAGGGTATTCTGTATGTTGTGACTATTACTAAAGAGAATGGAAAGCCGACATTTTCATATGCATCTAAAACGAGATAGGTGTTATAGTAATTACCTAATAAGTTTTCCATCATTAAGTAATGAATAAAATACTTCAAACTACCCTCGTAATTGGTAAATAAATAATATTTTTTATCCTTTGTTATAACAAGGTTTATACGGATAAGGAAGTGAGACGTTCCTAAAAGGCTGATAAGGCGGTAACTTCGTTTCTCCAAAAGGAAAACTGGTGTAATGTCAACGATAAATAAAGCTATTTATGGTTTTATTTTTGTATATAGAACAAATGGTGAACAGGCAGAAGGCTCACCTGCCTTGTGATTCTGTGACTTACTTTTCGAACTTCACTTTCACTTTTCAACTCGAAACAATAAACTACAAGCTCCCTCCTTATCTGCTTCACGACTGATTTGAGCGCGACCGCCGTTGCGAAAACCGCTGTGAGAGTTCGAAAAGTGAGTTACAGAATCGCAAGGCTGATGTTAAATGATATCGCAGCCCATAGACACAATGCTAGAGTGCTCACGAGTTCGTCGCCGGCGTTTTAAGAATTGGTACGCTATTTCTTAAAGCAGCCTGTCGTTACATGATTGTAGTTGGTTTAAAACCTATTACAACCTGGCTCGTGAGAAATTATGCATGACAGGTATTGATA